AAGGTACGAGGTGCGAGGGAATACCCAATCGGCAGCCTGTTGTACTGATACTTCATCCCTTGAAAGGAGAAACGCAGGAATTTCCTGTGTTTTGGGATGATCGGTATGTGAAGGTAGGCGTCTTCAGGCCGATGGAAACAAAAACCAGTCGTTTCTCTGGATGTTGTCCAACAGTTGTTTGGTTGTCAACATGTGAAACGGTCCGTCCATGAACGCCTTGTTGAAAACTGACAGATCCAAAATAGGTCTTGTCCCTCCGGTCCATTTGGGAACCAGGAAGTAACGTGAGTAAAAACCCTGTGTTTTCCTCTCCGTTGGGAACTCTGGAGATTACCTCTTTTACCAGAAGTTCTTGAACTTCTGCATTAAGGAATGAGATTTGGTCTGGTGATGACAGGACCGTCTTAAAATTCCTCCGAACGGAGGGGGTCGGGTTGCAAATTGCAACGTGTAACCCTAGCTTAACAACCTGGCCATCCATCTGTCTGGCGAGCATGTTTTTAGCCACTCCGCATAACGTTCGTGGAGTGGACGCGCGTTTAAGTGATGCGTCGTGTTTTGTACGGATGTCATCCAGTCTACCACCTCGACCGTCGTCATGTTGCGGGAATGTGTTCCGTGTGACCCAAGGCGAGGCTTCTCGAAAGGGCTCTGAACGCTCCTGTGTGCTGCGTTCGGACCAAGGGTCCACCTTCATGTCTAGGTGGACCGGTGTGTGTTGAGGAGAAGCGTGTGACAGCTGATGACACCGCTGGGCCGCACGTTTGACGCCAATGCGGTGAAAAACGCGTGTCGTTCCTGCCACGAGCGGGGTCCTGCGCTGAGCCTGCTTTGCGATCCCGCATTTATGCTGACATGAGCGGACAGGCGCTGAGAAGCGGTGAACGCGACTTCATCTACGCTGTGCCGTTTGAGTGAAGGCTGTGAGCCCCGCGGGAGCACGCATTTTCTTTGGTGGGATGCGCGCCGCTCTCGCTGGGGCGAGATTCGTCACTGGGTTCGCTCAGCTGTCTCACGCTAATGCTGACGTGAGCGGCCGAGCGCTGAGGAGTGGTGAGTGAAGACTGCCCCAGCCCAGGCGGCACGTGTTTGCTTCGGTGCGGCGCGTGTCGTTCTCGCTGAGAGCGAGGTCCTTCACCGACCTGGCCTGCGGTCCCACATTTATGCCAACGTGAGCCAGTGAACGCCAGGGAGCTGTGTGTGCACCATCATCAACGCAACGACATTTGGGTGAAGGCTGTATGCGTCGCGCGAGTGCACGTTGACACCGCTTGGGTGAGGATCGTGCAGCTCGGGTTGACTACGAGTTATTTCACTTACCACTGTTGTGTTATGTGAGCGTCTCGTCATGTCTGGAGCAACGGTAAGTTTGAAAAACCTTTATTTAAGGACACCGGCTCGTTTTTGTGGAGGATGTGTGCACAGCCGCTGTGAGTTCATACGAGCTTACAGACTGGCTAAAAACAGACACTTTGATCATTGAATGATGTTTAATTTCAACATTTGTGTCATCTTTACACAAACCCTCCGCAGACCGTCATTTTGAATCTTTTCCCCCGTGAGCTCTGGGATTTGTCGGCCCAGGGCGCCGTCTGCTGGGGATCTCTGGGAAAACATTGGACACTCTGTTGCCGGGATGATGAGGGCCAGTCTCTGATGGGCGGGGCTGCAGTGAAGCTCAGCGAGACGGCCGTGGAACGTCTTGCCACCGGCTTATTTCGTGTGGAGGATGTGAGAGGGAGCCGCTGTCAGGTCATCTGAGCTGACAGACTGGCTAAAAATAGACACTTTCATCATTAAATGATGTTTTAATCTAAACTCGTGTCACCTCCACACACATCCTCCGTAAAAAACGTAATTTGCTTTGCCATTTGTTGTCCTAGAGCGCCATCTGTTGGCGGTCTCAGGGAAACGCTGAAAACTCCGTCCTCCGGCTGCGATGCGGGCCAGCAGACAGCAAAAGAGGCGCACCGGTTGAGGATGACGTCAGCTGCCCTGCAGAAGGAGCGTACGTCTCCTCCCGCCTCTGAACGTGTACGCCAACAGCGTAACGTGTTGTTCGCTGCGGCCGTCTGGAACGCATGCTGGTGAGCTCAGTTGGAGAGCGGTGTCACCGTCTGGGTTACGCTAACCGGAGGCGCGGGACGCTGGTCCACCTGGACATCTTGCTCCGAGAAAAGCCTCCGTCAGGCTTGGCTCCAGGGGGCACTGAGGGAATTTCCGCTCGGTGAAACCCCTCTGCTCTGGTGATGGACACGACTGTGGAAACCGGCCCCCCCAATCTACCAGGAAACCGGCTGTGGCCTCGTCCCCGTAGAACGTCCTGTTGGGAAACCGAGGCCAGATGGGATCAGGACGGCGAGCCGGGATGGAGCCCAGAAAAAACCTTCCCGTCGGATCATCCGAACTGGTGGATAAGGCGCAGGACGTAAAAAAGGGTCCCTTCATGTCAGCCGCCTCCTGGGATACGTCGGGCAAACCCCAGAGGGTGCCGTCGGCCGGGAGCGGTGTGATCGCCGATGCGAAACGAGGTGGGATGAGGTGAGCATTCGCTCAGCCCCCCTCCACCGACACTACGCTCTCCAGGAGGGAATGAGCAGCGGGGCTGCTGCTGACGTCGCCTGTCCCGGAGGAACCATCCGATTCGCTCCGAGGGTCGGCGATAAGAAGAAAATTACAAGATGGCGTTGTCCAGCGTGTAGCGACCTGTCACTGAGAAATACTCCTCGGCGCTTACCTTGAATCAAGACTGCTCGTCAGCTTCTCCTCGGGGAGGAGAGCTCACCGGGACGACCGGAGGTTGACGTGACGGGCCAAGCATTCTTAACAGAGGTTGGTCATCTACACAACTTTCCTTCTTCGTTCTTCTGACAGTGCGATTAGCTCGCTGAAGAAAAATGGGAGCCGATTACCCGCTCTTAATGTAATTTATACGGACCGGGTGGGGCCCACACAGCAAGTGGGCGTGGACTAAATTTTTTCAGTGTAATACTCCGCATGACGGGATAAACCCACTAAGCGAAAGCCTTAAAGGGCGAAGACTATACGAAATAGAACAGGCCGAGATAAACATAAGACAAAGCAAAGCAAGTTAGACAAGTAGAAACAGAAGCAGGAAAAAAAAATGTTTCTGAAGCTCTGACGATTTTTAAGGCAATAACACACAAAACAACAATTTATTTCCATCATTATTTAAACTATTCTTTTGCCAAATCTGTAACCAAAGAAATGCATCCAAGGCAGTGTCAGATATACATTATTATCAAACAAATTACTTTTTTGTTGTTTTTGTAAGATGAATATGTAATAATCTGTTTTCCTTTCTAAAAAAAGTTTCTTTTTTTTTTTTTTTTGGTTAACTTGCATAAATTTTATACAAATAAAAAGTGCACTTCAAACACAAGGAATAAAAGATTCATTAAAGCAAATAGAGAATCTTATTACTTAGAATTTATTATTATTTTTATTATTATTTACTTTAAAAAAAAACATCAACCATTCAGATTTACTAAGATAACAATTACTGGTGCAATAAATGTAGCATTTAACTTTTCATGTGTCTGCAATAAAACGGTAACATTTTATTCACTTTAAACATGGTCCAGTCTTAAACACGTAAACTTACTAAATTAAATGTACATCAGACAACTTTAGCAACAAAACCTGATGGTTGGACTATTTTAATGATGCTTTGAATTTAATGTTTTGTTTTTAAACACACTAATATTACTAAAACTATATCCCCTCTTTTTAAAGTTCCTAATAAGAACTATAATGAATAATAAGTATAAAAACATTTCGTCACAGTATTTGTTCTTTTAAATCTAAATAGTTTGATAGTGAGGTAGCAACATTGTCTATCTGCTCTAAAACTCACTTATTACTTCTCCTCTTACAAACATTATGTAAAAAGCTGCACCGCCTTCATCTGTTGTTGAAACTGGAGCAACTGGATCCCGCTTACTGAAGCTGCCATCTTGTATTTTTGTAACCAGACACTAAAACGTGGGCTTGGCGCTTCACCTGCTCGCCCACCCACGCACGGTGCCACTCCCAAGAGCAGGAAATACGACGAAGTACAGCTAAACAAATCAAAAGATAAATAGGAGGCTGCAGCAGCAAGATAAGAACTACATGAATCAACAAGAGTCAACAACTGAAACCATTTCCTGAGCGGTGCTTTATTTTTTAACAACAACACTGTTAGTTTACGTGAAGTGGGCCAGACTTCTAACTTGTATTAGAACCAGCACACATGCACAATGGCTCCGTTCAAGCTTCAACTCGTGGGCTACCGCCTGATTAGGTTGTTTGTTGTTGTTTTCACAATCAATAGTGTTGTCTCAGACACCACCTCTCTCCATCCCCACAGCACCAAGAAGCTGCACATATATTAAGCTTTCCTCTCATTTCATACGTAAATAAAGGCAAATATTGAAGCAGATAGTGTATGCTGGTTTTTGTCCCCGTTTTTTTTTTCTTTTTAATCCATGTCTCCGTTTAGTGTGGCATCAACTTCAACTGTTCAATTTTGTTTTGTTCGATGAGGATTTAACTGAGAACTGATTGAATTATACTATATAACCTAGAGTAGGAAATAAAAAAAACTTTTATTTTGTGTCTTTGGTGTTAAAATGTAAACGTTGATCTTTTTTAGATCAAATTAACTCGTAAATCCACATTAATTTTTTTTTTTTTCAAACTGTCAGGAGTCATGGATTCCTGTTTATTGTGCAACGTTTTGAGTATTGTGGTAAAGTTCACCATTTGTGTGTAGTATCCATTGTACTTGAGGTATTTTTTTTTGTTTGTTTTATTGTGGGGGAACCTGTTAACCCAGTTCCTGTCTTATCAACAGGACTGAGAATTTATTTAATTTTTTAACACTGAACATTTCTCGTGTAGACCAGCACATTTCCTGTTGTTCCTGAAGGTTTCCTGAGTAACACAGCAAAAGAAAGTGTGTTTTCTGCATTAAAGCCACAGCAGACAGATCTTACCTCTGAATGTCAGAGATGAGCCACCAGGCCCAAGCCCAGCCTCCGACGACATAAGTCTTCTTATCAGAACCACAGCAGTCACCTTTGGGAGACAGAACAGATGTCACATTCAGACAGACCCTCTTGGTGGGTTCAGGTTTTTTACATCTCTAATAAACTCAATCAGACCTAGCTGCAGAGCCACATTTAGTTCTGAAGTGACCCAGTTTCATTCTCACCAACCAGTTTCTAAAAGGTAAACATGAAAAAAGAGGCACTTTCCAACCATAATTCCCACAGAGTCAAATTGAGAGTCGAGTTGTGTCTTGATTTTTATTTTTTCATTATTTTCTTTTTTTTGCAGTTTTATTTATTTATTTATTTTTGCATCTTGAGATCCTATGACGTCATCAAGTACTCGAGTTCTACTCGAGTTTTATTATGTTAATGTCGAGTTTAAAAATTATGTAGTCATTCAACCCTAACTTTCAGTTGCAGAAACCTCCCCCCACCCCCACACAAACACCCTTGTGCCTTAGGCCCTATTTACACGGACACGATGCGGGGAAACGTAGGTTTTTTCGTATGTTAATTAGAGGAAAAGATTTGCGTTGACACGGTCGCATTTTGGTTTTAAATGCATCCGAAGGATTCCCCCCCGCCCTCCTGAATCCGCTGTAGTTACCATGCCGGGTCATTAGATGGCACTGTGAATTTTGTACCTTCACCTAATGAGCATGCGTGCTGCCTCGGCACGTTGTTTTCCTCTGGGCTAACCAGCTAACAACAACGTAACAACAAGTTAAAGCTGGATTCTGGCTGGATTTTGGATAAGAGTCGACAGATTTGACGCCAAGCGGGACCGCTTCATCTAACAGCTCCACACCGGTCGCTGAGTGGACCAGAACCGAGTCGGCGATGTCGGACTTTACTCCGTGATAATCAGTAGCTGTTTTACTGCAGGTAAATCAACGTTCTTAATAACGTTAGTTTGTGTTTACTTCGGTTACAAAACAACCAAGTTTTTATTTTTTCCTGAAAGAAGAAGCTGTCCTTCCACCAGGCGGACCGGTTCTGAACAAGGCTCAGCCCAGATGAACTGCAGGAGGACGTCGAAGACAGATGTTGGATGAACTATTTATTTAAAATTCCCCTCATTTCTTTTATTCAATCCATTCAAGTTCAGTTAACATGTTTTAATAGAGTGTTCAGTTTAATTATCAGAGTTTGTGTGACATACAGTTTGTGGTGTTGAATAAATAAATAAAATAATAATTAAACCTGATGTCTTCATTTTCAACTTTAGTGTTCATGCTATATGTTTAGCATCATTTTAAATTTGAATTACACAATGTCCAGATAGCTTCATTTAGCTCAGAGCTTCATTATATCTCACACACTAACATAAATACTGTTTATTATTATTAAACTGTTGTTACTTAGTACATTTATGTTATAGTGCAGCGCGACGTGTGCACGTGCCATGTTCTATAAACAGCGACATTAGAACTGGATCAGACTCTCTTCCAACACAGATGTCGGTCACAGCACCTGGAATCTCACGTAGATTAACTACGAGATTAAAATATATTCCATCTGTCGAGGTTCTGAAAGCACTGTCCGCCGCCATGTTGATAGAAATATAGCGTCTGTCCGCACGTGCATGTGCGCATGTGGTTTAACACAAAATCTCAGCGGGAGATGTTTACATTATCAGCAGGGGGGTCAGCGAAAAACCTCCACTCTGGAAGGTGGGTTCAGAAACCTCCGGATTCAAAGAGGGGGGCCACTGGTGTCGTGTAAATGATCAGCAGAACCGCAGAGAGAAAGCTGCGGATGCACTCAAAATACGTGCCGTGTAAACGGCCCCAGAGTCTGATACCGGTAATTTCTTCTCGAGTGTTTGCAGCAACATTCCCAGCTGTCACATGTTAACTGACAGGCAAAAGGAAAGGACAGACAATCTTTACAACTTCAAAAATCCAAGACAGGAAATACTGACCCACACCTCATTCAGTCACATCTGTTCAACATCGTCAAAAAGTATCACTGTTAAGAAATACCATGGTCAACAAACATTGTGACATTTTACGTCTAAAGCAGAAGTCTCACCGTTTGACACAGTAGGAATTTCAAAGTCTTGTACTTTCCTAGAAGTTACACAATTTTTCTTTACACTATCCTGGAAGAAGAAAATCCCTGCACGCTTGTTGTCTTCAGTAAGGGCAGAGAAGGCCCTTTCCAATGCAACCACCTTGCTCAAGGGTCCAGAGTGGGGGGAAATGGGGGTAGAGGCAGATGTGGGAACCACACAGCAATGGTCAGGAGATTTGAACTGACAACCTCCCAATCACAGGCTTGCTTTCTGTAACCGCTGTATCCCCAGTCCATTAATCTAGATTTATTCTTATTAAATAATTACTGACATGATCTGATATCATCATTTATGCTTCACCTCATTTTCAAGACCGGTAAAGACAAGATGATTAATTACGGTGCTCTAAAGAGGAAAACCACACAACTACAAGATTGTGGTTTAATCTCCAAACAAACTGGTAATTTATCTGTAGTTTATATAAATGTACAACTGCTGCACTCTGCGTGGTTATAACAGAACCATTTATTGCAAAAGGAGGACAGACGATTTTATTTATGAGCATATCTGTGTCTGTTATTAAAGTATCTCACGAACAGCTGGAATGAAGCTTTCAGGAAACAATCACTGAGTGTACATCTATGACTGACTAACTTCTGGAGCCAACCCAATTCAAGATGGCTGCCACAGCCAACTGAAAATAACGGATAAAATTTCAATTCAATTCAGTTTATTTATATAGCGCCAAATCACAACAAAGTTGTCTCAGGGCACTTTACAGGAACATTCACATACATAAAAGCCAATTAGTAAAGTTCTCAATCTAAGGAATCCAGCAGACAAGTTGAATCTTGGCTTTGTTGCAGTCTCCCATCCTGAGCAAGCACAGTGGCAACAGTGGAAAGGAGGAAAAACGTTGGTTACGTACTGTAACCCCAGATTCTATGAATATAGGCGTAGCCCTTTAAGGCTGTCGCTGATGGGTTTTATCCCGTTATGCAAAGCATTACACTGAAAAATTTAGTCCACGCCCACCTGCTGTGTGGGCCTCACCTGGTCCGTATAAATTATGTTTAGAGCAGGTAATCAGCTCCCAAATAGCTTTTTCTTCAGCTACTTAGGAGCCAGTGAGGCCCGACGCCTATATTCATAGAATCTGGGGTTACAGTACGTAACCAACTTTCTATTTCATATAGGCTTCGCCCTTTAAGGCTGTCGCTGATGGGTTAAGGGTGAAGCAGATGTTGTCCTCGCCTCACTGGGTCCATTCGAACACCGTATGAAGCGGAAGCTTGCCCAAAAAAAGTCTTGTCACTCAGCTCCCATGTACGTAATTACGCGAAGCGTAATTATGTGTACCATGCACAGACGCATGATGTGTAATTATGCGTTCTGAATGCATGAACGCCCCGGAAAAGTTTCAACGGAGGGGAGAAAAACTGAAAAGGAACTATGAACCAACCGGTTCACGGCCGAACAGTATGAACAGATTAATAATAACAAGAGAGCTGATTATTAATCAAATAACTGATTGGTAACGATAGTCATGAACTGATCAATGACAATAGAACCAAAATAACAGTCACCACTTGTGACTGATAACCACATCTCACACTGTAATGCATGCAGACAGATGTGAGTTAGACAGGGTTCCATGAAACAACAATATTCATTCTGTTCGAACACTAAAGACAGAATGCGACATGGAAAGAGCCGTCACATCACGTAAATAGAAACGAATAAATGAGCAGGGTGTTGACCACGCGGCCGCAGTGCAAATATCCTGCATTGTCATACCATTATGCAAAGCAGTCGAAGATGCGATACCTCTGGTCGAGTGTGACCTGAGGTTGTCAGGAGGCTCTAAATCTGATGCTCTGTAGGCTTCAGAAATGGTCTCACACAGCCAGTGTGACAGGCGCTGGGTGGGTAATGGGCGACCTGCAGATGCATCTCTATAATGCACAAACAAATGTTGAGTTTGACGCATTGCAGCTGTGTAACACGTCAACGCCCACACAGGACAGAGAAGATGAGAAGATGCTTCTTCTTCTGATTGCCGGGGGGGGGGGGGGGGGGGAGAACCCCTCCAACAATATCGCTCTTAATTTAAAGAGCCCGTGATGTTTTAGGCATAAAACTGGATTCGGTCTTAGATCAGCTGAGCTGCCATCAGCCTGAATTCTAAGACATGACGGAGCGACAGAGAGAACAGATAAATCTCTCACCCTCTTAGCGGATGTTAAAGCCAACAGCAGGGCTGTTTTAAGAGACAAGAATTTAGTTGGAACCTGATTCAGTAGCTCAGATAGAGCTTAAATCAGGGCTAGCAGGACCAGCGTTAAATCCCACTGTGGAGCAAGTGGGCGCGAAAAAACAGGTCTGCATCTCTGTACACCTTTTAAAAAACGCTTCATCAGCGGATGATTAAAAGCTGTTCTGTCCCCCAAACTTTGTGACAAGAAGAGATGGCTGCAACGTACATTAATCGTGCTGAACGCCAGATTTCTGTCCATCAACTGCTGCAGAAAGACAGCACGTCACCTAGTGGACATGAGGTGGCCTCTACACTTTCTCTATACACCTTTTACAAAACGCTCCATCAGATGATGATTAAAGGCTATTCTGTCACCGAAAACTTTGTGACAAGAAGAGATGGCTGCAGCATACGTTTAATCGTGCTGAACGCCAAATTTCTGACCCTCAGCTGCTGCCAAAAAGGACTGCACGCCACCTAGTGGACATGAGGTGGCCTCTACACCTTTCTCTGTACACCTTTTACAAAACGCTTCATTAGCGGGTGATTAAAAGCTGTTCCTTCGTGACAGGAAGAGATGACTGCAGCATACGTTTTATCGTGCTGAACGCCAAAATTCCCGTCCATCAGCTGCTGCAGAGAGGACAGCATGTCACCTAGTGGACATGGGGTGGCTTCTACATCTTGCGGGAGACCCATCCTCTCTAAGCGGGTCCGCTCAGCGGCCAGACCCACATGTGCTGGCCTATTT